TTAGTTAGTTTGTTTGCTTGTTTTAATCAATTTTAAATCATGCTTTTTATTTGTTTTTGTTTCTAATGTCTCTGTAAAGCACTTTGAATCACCTTGTTGTTGAATTGTGCTATACAAATAAACTTGCCTTGCCTTATACTGTTTTATGTCTTTGAATATCTAATCACAGTCTGTATAAGTGAATACAATCAAATCTACAGCCATGCTAACTGCTATAATAACTAAGCTAATACAATGCTAATATTAGCATGCTAACATACTATGCCGGTATCTTTTTATCTTTTATTTATATATTATTTGATACATCTTAAAAATGTTTAAACCTTCTTGTTTTCTACTGACACTACTGGTGATCTAGCGAATTTTGCAAGTGCCTGAGTATTTTGGGTCTAGTTCATCTGCCTGTTTGTTTTGGCCGTTGTCTCCCTCGGATCCTTACACCTGACTGTTTGGCTTACCTGACTGTCCGTGATGTGGCCTAGCAGGATCTGCGTCTTGCTCGTGTGGGTCTGGATTTTTATGTCATTGGTCTACCGACCAAGTGCTGGACTTTACCAATACTCAGCTGATGAGCTTCTCCGTCTCCGCTTTCACCTGGCTTCTCCACCGCTCAAACTCATAGTACCCCTGTGTCTAATGGGATTATGTTAGTTTCTGCTTTTATGTGATGAAGTTTTGTGGAGAAAAAAGAAACCCTGACAGTTTCGACCATGTTCGCTAAGCTTTGGTACTAACATAGCCCAGAGCCAAGGTGGCTAAGGTCTATCATCCCACCTAGACAATGGTGAAGCCAGTGCTTAATACCAGCCAAAAAGTAAAGGCTATACAATATTCATTTTTGTGTTATTATTCTTTCGGAGCAAACATAGAGAGATTCTTACAGTACAACATTATTGCATGAAGACGATGATTACATATGGTATGTTTCCTCAAATGTCAAGGAAAGTTCGTTTTAAATGTCAAAGGGTAAACGGATCTTCGGACTGTGCTCAGTGATGGAAGTTTTGGTTGTAATTTAAAGATTGAAATTTAGACATAACGGAAAAGGGCTCAAGCCACCCACTGTTTATGTGTCTATTGTATCTTAAGAAAATTTCCTTGGACATTGGCTGCTTTTTCATTCATTTTCAGTCCAGCTCTTGTACCTGACCATTTTCAGAATGTTTTTGTCAAGCCTCTTAACCACGAATCATTAATTGAGTATAAATGCTCATCTGTGGGTGGGTGAATGACTAAATGTAGTGTAAAGCACTTTGGGGTCCTTCAAGCATAAAAAAGAACCAACTCAAGGGATGAACTAGTTTTGTGTTCATACACAACAGACAGTTTAGCAAAGGACCAATTTTAAACTGTGTCTTTATGCACCAGCAGCTTGTCAAAACCAAAACACAATTTATGAAATTATTATTGTAGTAAAATGCCATTAGATTGTTAGTCACCATGCAGCATTTAAAAAAAAAAAGACTGACAGCAGCTTAATTGTTCAGATTGACAATGGCACACACACTGACACGTGTATTCATATCCTTGTGGGGACATCACATTGACATAATGCTTTCCCTAGCTGCTTACCCTAACCATCAAAAATGAATGCCTAAACCTAATCATGACCCTAACACTAAAACCACATTTTGAGCCTCAAAAATGTCTTCAGACTTGTAGGAACTGGGATTTTGTTCCCCATAAGTTTAGTTTCCAATTTTTGGTCCCCACAAAAATATTAATACACGTGTACACACACACCCTCAACATCCTCATCATTAGTGAAGCAGTGTGGGATCATTTTAACAAAAAAGGCAACTAAGATCCCAAGAAGCACCTCAGGATGTCTTTCTTCTTCTACTTAAAGAAGTTTCATGAATGCTTACCTAACAGAGTTCAGACTGTTGAAGAATACACTCTGTTTTTGCTTTATATGCAGCATTTCCATTTGTTTACATGTTTCAATAAATCACTGCATCCGTTACCCCATTTCATAAAATGAGGGGTGGCTCAGGACTCTGTACTGTACAACTGTTATTTTACACTCTGTACAACATTTAAATAAAGACAACAAAGTAGCCTTTATGAAACAAATGTGTCTTTATTGCTTTTTATTGGGTTAAAATGTTACACAGTATTGTAATCAACTGCACTTTGGAGTTTGTTTAGCAGGGAGTGAAATTTATATATTTTTTAAAAATAATGTGATCATTATGATTGTCAGTGCACTTCCAGCTTGGATCAGAGAAAGGTGTTCAGGCCTGCTGGGTGATCATCTTCAGCATCTGCAAGGCCATAGGTCCCTGATCTGAAGGAATCTGTGAGGACAGACAAAAAGGATGACATTTTATGTTAAATATTAATAAAAAGAAATTAGGTTCTATTTATCTACGTTTCATCAACTGACTCATTCTAGCTTACCATGTGACCAGCTTTGAGAATCCAATAAAAGGCAAAGTTCTTAAAAGTCTTGCAGAAAGCTCCAGTAACGCCCGGGGTGGCAGGATCATCGAGGGGAGTCCACTTAAGCTCGTTAAAATTACGAATCCCCTCCCACTTTAGCTGCTTCACCCACAGCTCCTGACCTGTGAGAAGACAAAGATCCAGGTGCTTAAACTCAACAGGGACATATACAGGGTGGGCCATTTATATGGATACACCGTAATAACATGGGA